AGCAGCTGAATAAAAAGTAATTGTAAAGCCAAGCATGCAACCTTCAAAGCTTTCACAGAATCTTCTAATTCTTCACCGTGGCCCATTCTCCTGCCAACCTCTCTGAAACTGCCTTCAGTTTCTGTTGTCCCTGGCAGTAAGCAGCACTAAGTTCCAGTTATCTGGCCCCAGCTTCAGGACCACTGAAGAGTTCTTCTTGCTTAGAAATTTCCCAAATCAATAACTACCAGTCTATTCCTGGGAACTCCTGATACTTGTCTGGGTTCCTTAAAAGGGTCAGAATCCTGTTCTCTCCTTTCATAAAAACCATTTTTATGAAAGTCTAGACACTCCAGGAAAAAAAAGTAATAACACTTGTCCTGTAACAAATTCATCAGGTTAGGAGATACAGTTACATAGGAAATGCCAGATGACTATGGAGAACTTATAGAGCGCTAGTGGGCAGCAACTTCTCTCTCTGTTTTTCAACAGGCTACTCATAAAACTGCTCAGAAATAAAGCCCACATCTTCCTGGTCAGATGGCTTCAGTGTGTGCTTTGCAACACAAGGCTGGAGCCTCCAGCTTCTGCTTTTCCAACGGCATTCGTGTGCACTCAGACACTCTCCTTTTCTTTCATTTGTAGCCTTCATTGCAGTGTTGCTCCACTAAATTTGCTCTGACCTCCAATTCACTCTGGAAAATTTTCTGTGCAGCAGGGGAAGGTATTTTGCTCACACAGTGCCCACTGGCTGGAGGCAGGGGTGCCATCTCCAGGTGTCGCCTCTGCAGCACTGGGTAGGGCAAAGAGCAACATGGAGATAAAGGGGGGATTGAGCAACCTGGCACTGCAAAGGCCAAGCGTGCTAGGTCAGAGGTGAGCAGAAAATCAGCAGACAACCAACAAACACCTGAGCATCCCCATGTCACAAGGGAACGAGGGGTGAGGGAGCCCTCCAGGAGGGGGAGGGCTCTGGTCTGTAACAAAAGAGCCCAAGGAGGCCAGGAGATGACCTGCAACTCGCATGGGAGGTCCCTGATGCAGGGGACTGCAATGCAGAGTATCCCAGTTGCAGTTTAAGAGAGGAAATAGTGTGGATAGTTTGGGTTTTTCATTATTAATACTTTTTAATGTTATAATGAAGCAAAGTCTCAAGTCTGGTCTAAGAGCTGGGAGAGATGGAAGGAGAGCCAATCTCTGAGTTGACACACTGTCCCCGCCAACCTCTCTCTGTCCCTGCCTGACATTTCATGAATGCTGTGTATTTTATTGTTTATTTATTTTTAACAGTGGAGAACAATGTGTGGAAAGCAATAGATTGGAATCCAGGCTCTGCCAGGTACAACTTAGTAGTTGGTGCTGGTGTAAGGTGCACAGCTGTATGAAGAGGGACCTGGGGCTGGGAACAAGGAGAAAACAGAGCACACAACACGCTTAGAAATAAATTTCAATTTTACTTCTCTATTTCACAGCCTTCATTGCAACACTGCTCCACTCATGTCAAACTTTCAGGCAAGGTCACATCTCGCCCCAAGGTCTTCTATAGCAGCCCTGTGCTCCCCCAGCCTGCCCACACACAGACACTGCTGCTCTCATTCTCCTCTCCAGCTCACCTCCAGCACACTACCAGCACTGCCTTGTTCAGTGATGCAACTGTTAACTTCTGGCATTATCTTTTTTAATCTTTGCCCCTCTCTTCTGCCTCTCCATGTTTTGCATTAGGCTGCAGTGAGGAGCAGTGTCCACACAGTACTTAGCATGATGCACCTCTGATCTCACTGATCTGCCAGGAGATACTGCAAGACAAACAACACGCAAGACACATCTTCAGCAAGAAGCATCTAAAATTATAGACAGCCTTTCTCTAGAGTACAAACTCTCAGCCCACAGATCTTCTTACAAAAGCTTCAGTGTTTGATCCGTGACCATTACATTAATAGCATCTCCCCAAAGCTAGCGTCCTTCCAGGACAGCTACTATAGACCTGCAGCGTGGGAATCAGAGAGCCTGCTAGAAATCCTGGAAAAGAAGACAATTTTCAGGAATAATATATCTCTGCAGTGTCTTATCATTGGTCTGAGCCTGCAGTTGGAAAGCTGTGTCTTTCTACTGTATAAGAGGGAAAATGGAGAGCAGAATTTAATTTGTGACAGAAAAGAGCAGTGAAGATGAGATTCTTCCCTCTACTTTTTCCCCCTTCCCATATTCTTGTCTTACCCCTCCACTATCTATATTCTTTCACTCATGAATAAAGAGGAATCTGGATTTTATTGCCTTTTTTTTTTTTTTTTTTTTTTTTGCTTGGGAATGGAGATGTTCTCACTAAGTAATTTGTGAATAATGCTGTCTCCTTTCCCCAACTGAAAAATTTAATCATGAAATCACCAGAAAGAAGGCACTTTTCAGAGAAACGCTGCCTTTCTGCTGAAATTTGCTGCCAGGAAAACTGTTGTGGAACCAATTGCTGCTGCCTCTGAGTTTTTCATTGTGTGATCCCTTCACCAGGAACACCTGCATCTCTTTTCCTATCTATCTCTCTATGGAAAAGACCTTCCAGGACGATTTGCACCCTCTGTACATCAGGCCAGGCCAGGCCAGGCTGTGGCACTGACAGGGATGGAGCTTGGTGTGCCAAGACCTCCACCCAACTCTCCGTGATGGGAGCTTAGCTCTACACCCGTTTCCATTTCAAAAGCCCCATTTCTGGCCATGCATTTGTTATGACAAGTGCAGAAACAATTTAAAAGAGACCAGAGTTAGCTCAAAACCTGCTTGCTGAATGTTAGGACTTTGCATGAGTGGTTAGTCCCGCCAACAACGTTCCCATGAGAAGCTGAGAGCTCCATGAGAGTGGATGCTGGGATTTGAGGTGAGCTGGAGGAAGTTTAAAGAGATCCCAGCAGAGCAGGAAGGTGAGGGGGGAGCAGGGAAGGAGGGGACCAGCTGGGCATCCAACCTCAATTACCACTCCAGCTGACGTGTGATCCCAGTGACTATGGGATTACTCAGCACTGGCCTGGAAAAGGAGGTGTGGGCCACACCATCTCTGATATAATCTATTTCACATGACAGTTGCACAGACGTTTTATTTTGTTAGGGAAGATCAGCCTGGGTGGGAGCACAGCTTTTGGATGCTGAACAGCAGAGAATAGGACAGAAATTTAGAGAGGGTAAATTCAGATCTCTGAGAATATCTTTTAAAAAATGCCCATGAAATGTAACTGATGGGTTGTAAGGCCCCGGTTCAGCCAATGGCTGTGGCAAGCTGGAGACCTGGCAGGGTAATGCCAAGAAACACCAGAACCATTTCAGCAGGTGGCCGTGGCAGGAGACCTTCTGCTTGTGGGTTCCTGAGATGTTCGGAGGTAGGAAGCACATGAGGGTGAATTTCAAGAGTTCAGTTGCAAGGGCCAGTTAGGGCAGCTGCTGGATGCAACCACCAGATCAGAACTCAGGATAAGGACACAGTGCAAGAGAGAAAACAGCCAGGAGAACAAGCCCTGGCTCACTGAGACTTGCCAGTATTTGCACCCAATACAGATGTTTGTATTTATGAAGGTATGGGCTCCAACCTCCAGACCCAGACCTCTGGCCAGGCCCAGCTCCAATTTAATCTCCGGTACATTCACCAAAGATTAACTTGGAGATAAAGATAGAACTAGAAATATTTGAAGCCCAAAAACCTGTTGGGGTACTTTTGACATGGAAAGCAAAATCCTCCTGAAATGTGCAAAGGAAATGTGAACGCAAAAATACAAGAAAGAAAAAGTCCGGTGATCCACTGACACATTTCTGAATTCTTCCTCTTTTCAAAGTTCTGAGGTTTGAACATTATGAACAGTTGACTGTTTGAATCGTATAATGCAATACCTGTTCCTCTGGCTTAACGTTACCATATTTCCCACACCGCAGGATTGCTTCACATTATTCTAAGAGGCAGTGTCATTTTCCCTGCAGTGCTGGGTCTTCTTTACTGAGGCGAAGGACACTCCTACTTCCTTTAATTATATGTTTTGTTTTAAATTAAGTCCTTTATTCTGGGGATGAATCACCAGCTTGTAGACAGGTAAATGTGGGAGTAAGAGAGTGAAAATATAAGTTTGATTCCCAAGGTGGGTGTCTTTAATTAAAACGGACATCGAGATTCAGTCTTCCTTCCCAAACTTACCCCGCGATTCTGAAAATGCCTGTTTTCCATGGTTCTGAGCACGTATCTCACTCTTTCAGGAATTTAAACACGGTCCCCTCTGGCTTCAGAGCGCAGATTCCCTGTCGCCTTTGTACTCTGACAGTTGCGCCGTATCGTGCAAAGTAAACACACCAAGGCAAACTTCAGTCAGCGTCCCCGCATGCAGAGATGGGGAGCGGAGCTCAGCGGCTGCTCGGCTCTGACTGCTCGCGGCCGTCAGAAGGCAGCCGGGAGCGCGCTGTGCTCCAAATTGCGCTCACTTGGCTCTCCGCTTGCTCTTGTAAAATGGTTCTGCACACGTCTGTATGGGACGGTTCTGCCTGCCAGTGCGGTTTACTCAATCAGGCGCTGGACGGAGAATAAGAGGATCTGTCTCCTATTTGCAGCTTTCCCCCTGCTTTGGCAAAAGAGCCTGGAAAAACGCCTTCTGCCTCGATTTCCCCGGGGTAAAACGGGACCCAGACAGGTTTTGCACCCACTTCTGCGCGGCACACGCAGCCTCACAGCGCCAACCCTTCCTCTCAAGCGCAAAAGGCCCGGCCTTGCGCTGGCAAAGCCGCGTCCCGGTCCCACAGCCGCTCCGGGCCGAGCGGTGCCCGCGTTCCCTGCAGCCGAGGACCGGGCCAGACGTGAGATCCCGGCGGCCTCGCTGCCGGCGGCGGCGGCCCCGCGCGGTCCCGTTCCCGCATCCTGCAGAGCGGCCCCGGGCCCGCACCGCACCCGCAGCCGCAGCCGGCGGCGTCCCGGGGGCCGGAGCGGCAGCTCGGAGCGTGCAGCGTGGCATGCGGCCAGGCGGTGACGCGCCTGTTGCTATGGGATCCACCGCCCCTATAAATAACCGAGCGAAGGAACTTTCCTAAGTCAGAGACTTGAGGACACGGGCCCCGCAACCAGATGGTCCGCAGGAGAGCCGCCAGCTCCAGCCGCAGCTCCGGGAGCGGGAGAGCCCCGCCGCGCCGCACGGACTGAACCGCCCGGGCGGGCAGCGCAGCGGGGCCGTGCCCAGCGCCGGGCTCGGGAGACCCCCACCCGACGGCGGCCTCTCGATTCCGTGCCGGGGGGGCCCCCCGCGCCGTCTTCTCTTCCCCGCATCCCCCTTTGCTTTCATGCAACGCCTGGTGGCCTGGGACGCAGCATGCCTCCCCATTCAGCCGCCCGCCTTTAAATCCATGGAAGTGGCTAATTTCTATTACGAGGCGGACTGTCTGGCTGCTCTCAACAAGCTGCACCCGCGGGCGGCCGGGGGCCGCTCCATGACCGAGCTTACCGTAGGGGACCACGAGAGAGCCATTGACTTCAGCCCCTATCTGGACTCCTTAGCAGCATCCCAGCAGCCGGCGCAGCCGCCGCCTCCCGCAGCAGCAGCAGGGGGCAACTTTGAGCCTGCCTGCAGTAGCGGCGGCCAAGATTTCCTTTCCGATCTCTTCGCCGAGGACTATAAAGGCAGCGGCGGCGGCAAGAAGCCCGACTACACCTACATCAGCCTCGCCCGGCACGGCCACCCGTGCGGCAGCCAGAGCCACAAGCCGGGGGGGCTGCCGGGCTGCTTCCCGCCCCAGATCGTGGAGACCAAAGTGGAGCCGGTCTTCGAGACCCTGGACTCTTGCAAAGGGCCCCGTAAGGAAGAAGGGGGAGCGGGGCCGGGACCGGGGGGCATGTCCTCGCCCTACGGCAGCACCGTGCGCTCCTACCTGGGCTACCAGTCGGTGCCGAGCGGCAGCAGCGGGAACCTGTCCACCTCGTCCTCCTCCAGCCCCCCCGGCACCCCGAACCCCTCCGAGTCCTCCAAGTCGGCCGCCGGCGCCGGGGGCTACTCGGGGCCGCCGGCGGGCAAGAACAAGCCCAAGAAGTGCGTGGACAAGCACAGCGACGAGTACAAGCTGCGCCGGGAGCGGAACAACATCGCGGTGCGCAAGAGCCGCGACAAAGCCAAAATGCGCAACCTGGAGACGCAGCACAAAGTCTTGGAACTGACGGCCGAGAACGAGAGGCTGCAGAAGAAGGTGGAGCAGCTCTCCCGGGAGCTGAGCACCCTCAGGAACTTGTTCAAACAGCTGCCCGAGCCCCTGCTCGCCTCCTCGCCCCGCTGCTGACCCCCGCGCCGGGCCGCGGGGCGAGATGAGCGCTGCCCCCCCACGCCCTCCTCCCGGGGCCGGGCTGCGTTTTCGGTTTCGTTGGGGGTTTCGTTGTTGTTGTTGTTGTTTGTTGTTGTTTCGGTCTCTATTTGCTTCCCCCCCATCCCCCCGGGGCCAGGGGGCGCGGGCGGCGCGGGGGGGTGGAGGGGTGGGATGGGAGGCCGCGGCCCCGGGGCTCTGCTGGGCGCTGGGGTTATTTAAAACGGCGAGAGGAGAGCGAGGGTGAAGTGATGCAATCCTTTAAGCATGGCTGGGAATGCTGTGTACATGATGCAATCTCGTGTAACTGTCAGTCATGGATTGAGTAATCTGTTAAAGATGTTCCTACAGTTTTTTTTTATTATAAAGAATAATCTATTTCTATAAGAAAATACATATGTATATTTTGGGATCTATGCATTCTTGCTACATTTGAAGCATTAATGAACGATTTTAATAAACTTTATGACTAGGTTAAAAAAAGTAGCTTGTTTTATTTTGAGGGTACGTTTCGAGTCAGATGAAACGCAGGGCTGACATTCCAGCTGGATCTGGCTTGGTGCTGCCAGCAGGGATAGGACTCGTGTTGGTCTTTTGGCTTTCTCTGTGACTCAGAGAAAAACAGAAACAAAAACCCCAGGAGAAACCTAGCAAAGAGCAGAGCTGGAGGCTTCAGCCAGTCCTCATTGTCTCATTTTGGTTCCTCTAATCACTTGCTTGAGCTGCCGCTTGGGTATTGTCTGGGAAGAGGTGTTTGTTTGGGGTGGTGTTTTTTGCAGTTCTTGCTGTTCCCAACGTGCAGAGTGAGGTGTGCTGTCCAAACCATGACTGATCTGGTGAAGTAACTGCAAGGCTGAAGTGGGAGGAAGAAAAAGCGAGGGAGGAAGCTTTCACTTAATTTTTTTTTCTTTCTCTTCAAGGAGTTTCTGCTCTCTGAATTATGATTCAGCGTGTCTTATGTTTGTAGTTTACAGGAATAAACATGAGAAAGTAGTGCTTCTGTTGGATGTCGGTAATGTGGTCCCTGCTCGGAAGCTCTCGCGAAAGCCGCCAGGTGAGAGGCACACCAACAACCCCTTGCCTTTCCTCTTGAGATGTTCTTCTCAAACCTGTAGCTAGAGTTTCTCTGTTGAGAGGTGTTTGTTTCTGTGTGTCTGTTAGCTGGGGAAAAGCAGCAGATGAGTGGGGATGGGGGCAGGCCCTGCTGGGCTATCGATCAGGCTGGAGCTTTGTTCTGCCTGCTGACGAAAGCTATGCTGCTCCTGTGTCCTGTGTGCTGCTGCCAGAGCTGTGCAAGCAGCTCACAGTCCCAGGCTGGTTATGTGCAGGGAGCTGAGAGAAGGACTGGGTCTTACTCAGCGTGTTCCATTTTCCTCTTAGGCCAACTTTAAGTACCATGTTTTAAAATCCAGATTCCCAGTGCCCCAGAATAGGAAGTCCTTAATCGTCTGTGCTGAGCTGAATCCAGAGGAGCTTTTCTGTACCAAGAGAGCATTTGAATTTGCTGCAGGCAGGGCAGGATTCCAGGACAAACCCTGAGTCTGTCACTTATTCCCAGTGTTCCTTTCAGCAAAGCATGTTTCCTACCGAAAGAGCTGCTGTGCATTTTTGACACTTGAGATCCTATCTTTCCCCGGCAGGTAGAACTCCCAGAGCTCTCAGGGAGATCCGCTTGCTCTGCTCCCACAGTGCTCCTATGGAGCCATGCAGCAGCGAGCAGGGAAGTGTTAGACCCAATACAGATTTCCACTGTTTGCTTTTTAATTTGTGCACTGCAGTTAAGTTGGTTTTATGAGACCCTATGAATAGATTTTCTTGGGTGAGCAAGCTCCTGCATGACTCAAATTCTCGCAGGCAAGATAGACGTTAGATCTTGTCTTGGCTGTCCCTTGTGACGCTGATTTCTCCAGCCTCCCATGGCTGTTTATTCTACTATTCTTCTAGTTACGAAACTTATCCACATAGTTAGATCCCATTTTCGTGTTGTGCTGTAGGCCATGTAATGTTACCCACAGTTACGAGCAGCGTTCCCAGTCAGAGCTGAGTGCTGCCGAGGGTAGAATTGCTGGAGGACTGGAGATGTCCTCAGACACATTTCTGTATTTCTTTCTTTCTAAATGACAGAGCTTCCAACAAAAGTTCAGTTTATGAGGGCTGGGAGGCAGAGTAGATTGAAAGATAAGATGTACTAAAGGTATTTATATTTGTTTGAGTAATAATCCAGTTTCGGAGCTGGAGCTCTGTCAGGCACGAATGAGCTAATTCCTGTCCTTAAACTGCTTCAGGAGTTGGGGCAGTGTTGCTGCTGTGATTTAAAGAACATTTAATGTACTGCTGTATTCCAGTGTATCTCTTTATTTTGATTAAAGATTCTTCATTGAGGGGGAAACTTGTGCAGCAGCAAGTTTTTGTCAGACAGATGCAGTTTTAGACAGGATAACTGATGAGCACTGATGTTACACCAATCTCAGAAGGAATTGGAAAGAATCATAATGAGAATTTCTGAATACTTTGTTCTTAATCTTATATTGCCTATGGAACTTACATTTTCAGAGCTTTCTAGCTCAGTGCGTGAAGGCCATGAGATACCCTACTTAATGAACAAAGATATGAAAAAGCCCCCAGAATTAAAACATTTCCTAGGGAAAAAAGAAAAAAAAAAAAGAAGAAGAAGAAAATAATTTGGAAATGAACCTGAGCACTAATTCTAGTACTAAAGCAGACAAAAGATTTCAAATACCTTTTCTAATCACAGTGGTGGAATTGGAAAATCCCTGTCCAAACAGTGGCTCTGCTCCAAATGAGAGCGCTTCCCATTGCAAATAAGATCCTGTTAACTGAAAGCAGTACCAGGTGCACCCCAGTTGTCTCCTCACAAGGCCTCTTTTGCTTATTTTCCTAAAGTGACTCTGTACAATGTGTGGTAAGACTTCACAGCTTAGACGCAGGGAAACCACGCAGGGAAGTTAAGGCACTTACTCCAGGAGTTTATTTTTAATTTATGGAGGCTTATAAAAATTATTTGATTTGAACTTTTTATTCCCTTTCAAATTATTTATGACACCGACTGATTGCTGCAGGTCTTCCTCATTACTGCTGAAATCAGCGTTCTTTTCTATGCAGAAACTCTGCTGCCAGACCAAACCTCCAGCACTGACTTCCCATTTCCAAAGCATCTGATGCTTTGCTTATATCTGCTGAAGAAATTGTATGTATCACTTGAAATTGAAAGAACTAAAAACACCACTACAATTTTGGCAGCAGTTCTTCTATCTGTTAACAGACTTGCTGGTCAGTGCCTATCTGCCCAAGCACATACAGGGATGCTGTGTGCCAGTGCTCTGACCCTTGTGCCACTGCTGCCCCTCAGAAGGTGCAGGACAATTAATTCAGTTTCTATACAAATTTTTTCTATCAAATAAAATGGTTCAAATTGCACGCGTGGTCCTAAGGTGATTGGAATGGGGGACTCAATCACAATTGGTTACATTATGTTTTTTAATTCATTCCTGCAACGGCCTTCATATATCAAAATTACAATCTGAAAAACAGCTGTGTGAAGTGTTTACCTTTACAATTTCATTGCTAGAACAACTGTTATTGATGTGGATGTGTGTGAAAACATAAAGTTATTCTCATACTATGTAGTTTTCAAGCACTGTCTCATTAGCTGTGACAAGAATAAAAGTCAGTGCAACTTAGTATCTGCTTTAATAAAGACAAAATGTATATGAGGCCAAATTACACATCTTCTCTTGCTATTTATAATACCACTGAAGCAATAATAAGTATTGGCTTGCATTTTCTGGCATTCACAGCAACACAAGGGAGTCTAAATCACCACGGCAGCAGGGCAGCAGGGTGCTGCACTCAGTCTGTTTGGGTCACAGGTGGTTATCTGGGAATGGGGTCATGATTAACATCTTCTTTTGTGTTTAACCATGCATATGCTTAGCAGTCAGAACTTTAGGGCAAAACTTATGTACTAATGTGAAGTATGAAAAAATTAAACCTATGCATGAACACTGCAAAGGTCCTAGTACAGTCAAAGAATAGAAACAAAAGTAGGAATTCAGTTAACTCCTCCCAAAGATACAATTCTCTTCCATTTCTGAATACATTTTTAAATTGCTCATGAAAGTCAGAATAGAAGCATGAGGCCAAAACTGTACGTTAACTGTGTGAGGGAATTGGTTCTTCTTTTGAGAGACTTCCTGAGCTGATGAGTGAAGTTATTAAAAGAATGGATTTCTATGTAACTATTTGCTGGAACCAAAAACATACTCTGAGAGCTTAATCTTTTCTACACATAGCTAAACCGTGGTACAAATTCCGAACTCAGATAACATCCTGAGGTTTTCTGAGGTTCTGATTCTTCCATGGGGACGGAGGGCAGTGTTGGCCCAGCCCACTCCATGGGCAGTGTGTAACAGCCTAGAAAGATCAGGTATGGCCTTTGACTGACGTCAGAATCGTGTAAGATTTCTGATCCAGAACTACATGAAATTCCAAGAGAGTTTCTGTTTGCAGTGATACTGGATGGACCCTGCGACTCTGAAACACTGCCACTGCAGCATTTCATTGCTGAGCCTCAGTGAAGAGCTCTCAGGGTCTGCACAGCTCTAACTCCGATTTGGATGGTTTTATCTACTGGGAACTAAAACCCCTCCATGACCATTTTCCCTCCTGTTAAACTGTTTGAATGTTTTGTTTTGAATAAAGAGCTCCCTTCCACTCCTGAAAATGTAGTTGGCTGGAACTGGATTTATGTGAAAAACAACAGGATTGGAATTCAACACTGGATAAATGGGTTAATAGTTGCTGAAGCTAATTCATTTGCACTTAAAATGGGACACATCTGGTTCCAAACCTTCCGACTGGTTGTCACAGTTCTACAGAGCAGAGCCAAATTTAACCCTCATTTGTTTTAAAACCTTCACAAATTTGGAGTATTCTGTTCTAATGCTATTTTCTAGCCAATTACAGTCAGCATCACTTTTCTGCCTTGTCCCATCTGCTCATGCCTCTGGAACTCACACATTACATAGCTATTACAGTATTTCCTCAGAATCCAGGGTACTTGCACAGAGGTTTAATTTAGGTCTCAGAATTTCATCCATTTTGCAGAATAACAAATCCTCCACAAACTCACACATTCCCTCCATAGCACCTCTATACACTATAGAGGTGCTGGCTTTGTCATCGGACCTTGTTTTAATTGTCTTGAACATCCCAGACAAAGAACTGCATTTTTGACAGAGAAGCAACAGAAGTTTATGGTCCCCATCGCCACATAAAACAAGCGCAGCAGTTGGTTTGTTTTCTATAAATACCTCGTGTTTGCTAGCGTATTGCAACAGCATTTCATTAAGCCTGTGGTAGGTAGCTCATTGATGTTGTCTAAAAATTACAGTAACAGGAATCACAGTCTCCTTCAAAGAATGCAAAAATCCCTCTCAGACCTCAGCCCTGGGCTGCTCCCCTCCCACAGCCCACCTGCAATCTGGGCCTGCAGAGCTGTGCGAGCCCGAGTTGTGTTTGTGTAAAAGAGAAGCGTTGGTCTCAGAAATGAATGTCACAGTGACACTACAGCAAAACGTCTCTGTGCAACATGATGAAACAATTACTTGGCTGGAGTAATTCAGGAAGGGAATCAGAAGGACAAGGGAAAGTGCCTGGAGCCTGTTGGAGAAGCAGGAGGAGAGCAGTGGTGGCCAGCAGCACGAACATTGTTCTGCTCATTCCTCAGCCTCTGCATCCGACAGCGACTTGGGGTGGGTGCTTCTGACTGCAGTGTGCCACCTTCCACGGACACAGGTGTCTTACTGAGTCTCTCTGCTGTTCTCTGAAGACGAAAGTACAGACAGCAAACACAGAATGCCGTTCTTCAAGATACATGTGTCTGACGTTTAAATGTACAGGGAGCACAACAAAAAAGTGGGATTAACTTGGCACAAAGAGATGAATAGATTAACAAAAAAAGCTGTAATTATCAAGGAGTTTGGTTTCTAAAGGAACACAAGCTGGACTGCAGCCACTGTGCTTCACTTCCACACAAAGCCCAGCTCCTCGCACTGCTCTGTACTGATGTGCTCCTGATGACAACTCCTGGGGGCAGAAAATATTCCCGTGCTTTGAGTTAAGAATTAGTGCTGACCGCTGGGATGGATCCCCAGACCTGAGGGACTGGGAGAGGAGGCAGAAGGCGTTCGGATATGACTTCAGCTATTGGGTTCACAGTATCCTCACACACTTCGAAAGGAACTTATATTAGCTGCAGAGTTAATGAATGCAGAACACTGTCAGAAATTAAGCACCAAGGGACAAATGAGCTTTAGCAAAAGCTCCGGAATTGGAAGACAGTTTCTGGTCCTGACTCTTTCATCAGTTTATCATATTTCTTTAGATTGCTGGTTAGCTCCCAGATGTAATAGAAGCTGTACACACATATGTGGATCTTCAGTTATAAGTGCAGTTGCCATAGCTGCAGGTGTATTTGCCTATTATATTTTTAGATTTTACATGTGTGCTTTGTTGTATACAAGTAGCTGTAGTTTTCAGTGGAACTATTATCACTCACATGAATAATGATAAATGCATAGATCTGTATTCACACGAATCTGTTTGCATGGATCTGTATGTACACAGATCTGAGATCAATCTCTGGGATGTTTTTAATGCATTTTACAGCACATGCCTAGCAAATTTTGAGTATTTTCATGTTGTATATTCAATTTCTCCAGAGCTACCCAGTCACATGGGCTGTTCATTCCCATACAAAAGGCAATAGTAGAGGCTTCAGCATTTCTCACTTCCCAGGAAAAAAAAAAGCAAATCTAAGTAGGGAGGTACCACCTCTTTCAGCCATTGGGCCCCAACACAACAAAGCACTCGAGTGCAAATTCTGCCTGAGTAGAAGCAAAGCAATGCAGAACACAAGCTTTCAAATTTTGGATGTGCCAAGTACTCTCCTGAAATACATCCTTCCAGAGTTCCAGGCATAGCCACCTGGCCTCTGGATTATGGCTGTGATGCAGCTGTGTCACAGGTGTTAAGTCCTGGGAAAGAAAACATGGCAGAAAACCTGGATGTTCAAAAGATGGTGATGTAATGCACTCAAACAGGCCAAAAGAAATCCTAATCTCCTTCCAGTGTTCAGAAGGGGCCCATTTGCTATGTGTCCTGGACAGGACCGGCAAGCCACTGCTACAGCAAATGGTGTTAGCACCTGGCTGGTGATCAAAGGATTCTTGAGCAACAACCCATTCCACATCAGTAGGAGATGCTGCCAAGAACCATGGACATCTCTGGGCTGGAAGGCAACTGATAAAGCACATGCTGAGAAAAGCAATGGTGCCTGCATTGGGCAATCTGAGCTCTATTCATGGCTACTGGAAAATGTTACTTTTATTTTAGTTCTGCAGTTGCATAAGGCAGATTCACTAAAGACTATCACACAGTGTTTGCACAGGGTGTTTTGCCATTGGTATTGTTTTTTTTAACAGCATTTTATTTAGATGATCAGAGACTCTCACTTCACAGGAGAAAACCACT